AAAGAAAACCCCCATACCGTATGAGATTTCTTTAATATCGCAATTATTTTTTGTGAGTGAATGGAGACTTTGCTTAAAGGAATATTTCACTCAAAACATCTTAAAATAATCAATCCTATTAAGTTTGTAAGAATGTTCCAATAAGTGCAATTCTTGAAAAATTCTTAAGTATTATGTTTAAGAACTCTTAAACATAAGTTCTTAAAAATAAAATGACACTACTTTTTTATCTGATTGTATTGCAGGTCTTACTGAAAACACACTCACATGCTAACTCAATTAAAACACCTCTTTTTGAGCAGTCCGCTGTCTTATTGTGCTGTCTGCAGATTGCCATAATTATAAGCATGCACACTATTTTTGTTGTGACTTGCTTGACCACAGATTATCTTAATGTGCTGTCAAGTTAAAAATTGTTATTTTTAATGGTAACACTTTATTTCGATAGTCCACTTTAGACATTCTATTAACAGTAAGTAACTTTGCAACTACATGTCAACTAGCAGTTAGTAGAGTATTAGTAGACTCTGCTTAATATCTTCTAACACTTTCTTTGTCAACTTATTCTACTAACCCTACACTGTAAAAAGTAATGAGTTGAACTTACTTGGAAAACCTGTGGAAACTGATTGCCTCAAATTTCTCAAGCAAATTAGTTTATAATTTTTGAGTTAATAAAACTTACTGTAACTTTGTATAGGTAACTTGTGTATATGTATAGTTTACCAGAAAACTTGAGTGTTGCTAACTCAATTTGACAAGTTCAGCCAACTTAGAGATTTCAGTTAAGCTTAGTGCACAGAACTCAAACAAAACAGTTCTCTTAGCAAGTCTGCTTTGTTCACATTACTAGACAAATGTGTGGAAACTGATAACAGTGGCTTTTTTAAATGCATGTATGGGACATGTAAATGTTCTCAATGAATGAATGAATGAATGAATGAATGAATGAATCAAATAAATAAATAAATAACAGGGACATTCTCAGGACTATGAGTAAAGTTCTGGCAATAATAAAGCTATGAAAAAATCCAGTGACATTAATAGATCTGGTCTTTGACAATGTTCTCAAAATTCTCAAAAAACCCTTATTGAAACATTGTTAATGGAACATTTTTCTTTTAAACATTGTAGATTTTGAAAGTTATAACTTGTTTCAGAAAAAAAAAAAAATAATCCCATGGTGTTTGCAGAATGATGAAATGGAATGTTCCCCTAACATTTGTATAACCAAGACAAATGACAGTTTAATTTCTCTCAAACAGGAAGATGGCCGCTACTTTGCTAATTTCCTCTGAGCTTTTATGGTGCTCGGTTGTAAGCAAGTATTCCCTGTGGATGCAGAAATGGATGTATTGTGCTGCCATTGATTATGTAGCTGCTGTGTGATAAATGTCACAGCGTCTGAGCGTGTTATCGAGTGCGGTGGCATGTGTGAGACTGTTGCGAGCGATCAGGTAGGCACAGGGCATTGTTCACTAGACAGCTGCCCAGCGGAGAGCAGCAGCGCTGAGCCACTAGCAGCCACTGCAGGTCTGGGATAGCATTGTAAACACACAGCACTTTTGACCAGGATGCTTTGATGTAATGGAAAACATAAATTATGAGAATTTTTAACAATTGCTCTTTTTAATTAAATCATCTTAACTTTACTGTAGAGTGTTTAGGTTATTAAGTCTGTACATGCAATTAATGCAATGCTATATATATATATATATATATATATATATATATATAGCAATTGAAAACATATTTTACACAAATTTTAAATGAAGAAAATCATTTTAGTTTTTCTATTCTTAAATTGTATATACCATATATAAGTAATCCAATATGTGGAGGCAAAAATCCATTCCACTTATATTATAGTAACTTGCCAGCATGGACAAGTTAAGGCAGTTATTGATGTTTGCAGCACAAAATTTAAATTGAACTGATAAAAATAACAGTTGAGTTTTGTTATTTTGTTGTATTATATATCCAGACAATCAGAACTGAGTATTTAGACAGACAATGTATAAATTATTGTAAGTAACATTTGAGAACTGTCTTAAATTTGTGTAATTTGTGTAATGTAATCTCATCATATTATATTATAAATAATGATAACATAAATATCGATTTCATAACATTTTTGTAATCACTTTCACATAAAAAAAAAAGTGTTCATATTTTATATGTTGCTGTAATTTTATGCAATTTATTAATCAGTTCAAATACTTGTCGGCCAAAGCAATGTTTTTTATATATTTGTTTTCCTTTTACATTTTTCCTATTTCAGAATTGTTTTACTGTTTAAATGCTTCTGCATACTCTACAATAGGCTGTTTAATGACATGTTCCCTTTGTATTGTGCGAATGTAATGGCCTTTTATAAAGCCTTAAAGGCATGTGCCTATACTGATACTGACAAATAAACATAAACCTAACTGAGAAATATCCACTGGAGTATAATGTGTGACAACTTGCCCAATCAAGTAAAAAAGAGATGGAGGATATGAACGGTCAATATGTAAATTACATGTAATCGGAGACTATTTATAGATATAATGACTATAGAAAAATCCAGATTTAAGAAAACATTTGTCAGGTGCTTGAGAGATCTCTTTGAGAAACTGACATTTCCCCACAGGAAATTGATTCATTATGTCATACAAGCCCCAGTTTATCACTGTCAGAGCTCGCCCTATGAGTTACGAGATGGATGATGGATATTTTAACATGTATGAACGCATTTCCTGGGGCAAAATTTGTTGTTACCTGCCCAGACTCTTTCTGTTATAATATCAGTTGATGACCTTTAGTAACCTTACATTTGTTTTCATACAGGAAATCAATATTACTTAAAAAAATAAAAAAAATACCTGATTCTACATTACAGCTCAGTACTAAAACAGTGATGATTTTAAGCATATATAGGTAATGAGCCTTTTTTTGTGAATTTTAAATTGATTAAATTGTTAGTTTTTCTATACATGCTACACTCTAAAAAATGCTGGGTTAAATACAACCCAGTGCTGGGTAAAAAATCTGCTAAAAGCTACATGCCATAAAATATTGATGGATGGACACTTTTTTTCAGTAATTGTTTAATCATTGCATTATTTTGGAACACTATAATGACAATAATGGACAGGTTATGCTCATTACATCATACATTGTCTCATCCGGCACTTTTTTTGAAGTGCTGTAACCATGAATAGTAATGATAGTAAAAACAGTGACTAAAACCTCAGACACACTTTTAAACTGGAACAGACATTACCTCAAAATTACCAACAAAAAGGGATATTTTGTTCATATTATCCTAAATCCACATGGGGAGGTTGTTTGATTATGTTATCTTGTATCCCTCTTCTTCTCTCTTTTGTAAAAGACTGAGAGATTTGTACGAGCAAATTCCCCCCTCTTCTTTTGCAGAAAATGCTTTAAGGGATTCGTTCCAACCACTCTCTATTCATTTACTCTCTTTTTCCTTTCTTCATCTGTACTATTTTTACATTTCGCAAAGCAGTTCATGTCAGATTTTACTTGTACTATTGTTACACTCACATCAGTTTTCAACAGTAGCCTGTGCTGTACAGCAGGTGATATTTGAAACAACACCAATTAATAGCTCTTGTCCTACACGTTAGACAGTAGAGAGTCATGTAAAGAGAGTGTGTGCCGGTGAAATGCTTTTATTTGTACTGTCTTGGGGGATCATTTAAATGATGGTACCTCCAGCGAGTGTAAGTAAAACACCGAATCGAGCTCTAGTCTGACATATGGTGAGTCAACAGGGGCAAACTGCTGACTGACCCAAGCAAAACACTTCAATCTCTCTATGCTGTGCTTCACTGCTCCCCAGGGCTTGATTGATTGATTCGCCAGCCAATCAGAGCACATCAGTCCCCAACACTAAAGGCATCCATTTATATACAGCCTGTCAAGCAGACTCACAAAGGGAAAGCTGTTGTGTAGCTTGCGCTCTAAAAACATACCTTCTGTAAGGAGCTTGGATATATATCTATTATACGCTCGAATGGGTTGAGTCAAAGCAAATAGTAATATACTTTTCTCCTTCCAACTTCTTACACTATTCTTTGACATTCACTGCACTTAACCTACACTGGTGCCACATCACATATTAGTTATTTTTTTAAGCTGATATTCCTATTTTTGCACTACAGTGCTTCTACCTCAAAGTTAAATTGTGAAATATTGCCCTCCTCCCCCTGTGAAAAAGAAGTGTATTAAAATGCATTATTGAATTAGCACTTGTAGTGTACTTCAAGTCTTAAACGTATATATTAAAACAAAACTGTACTTGCAGATAATTTAATATTAATGAAATAAATGCCACTTAATGGTACTTAAAAAGAGTATACTTGCATGACTGTTTTAATACACTTAAGTACACTTTAAAAAGTACACTTTATAATAATGTTAAATTAAGATGTACTTTAAAGTAAATATAGTTATAGTATAGTTATTTGTATATATAAAATATATATGTATATATTTTTAAATTGTACTTTGTAATTGCAACTTTATCATTACAAATGTGTAATTACAAATATATTCAAATACATAACACACAAGCTTCAATAGAAATAACATTAAAGTACATTTTAGTTTGTCCGTACATTTTAACCATCATTCAAAGACATTAGTAATTATGAAATTACATATAAATATGTACTTAAGTCCTACTTAAGTGGGTCAAAAACTCTCTTAAGTTAAATTAATTGCATTTAATACCATACCATTTGTCTTGGATCATGACAGAAATTGATAATAACGATTACTTTAAATATAAATAAAAATGTGACTAATTTATTTAGTATAGAAATCCAAGCATGCAATGAATCTATACTTCAAATATTTTCACTGATCTTCTATATTATGTTGATATTGATATGATGCTATTCGTTTATTTATCTGGAAAGCATAGTTCGGAAGGTGAGATGTTAATAAAACTGTCTTTTTCTCTTTTTTTTTCTCTCTCACTCTTTTAGGGGGGATATTTGAATCCATGGAAAATGGCCCATCTGGTGCTGAAGAACTTGCCTTTAAGTTTGCTTTAAATACAATCAACAGGAACAGAACTTTACTGCCAAACACCACACTCACATACGACATCCAAAGGATAAACATCCACGACAGCTTTGAGGCCTCCAGAAAAGGTAAAGCCATCTCCAGCTCAGATCAGAGACAAATGTGCTGTGAGATATATGAAGAAGGACGTGGGCTTTAGATTGAATTCATTTAACCACAGGGGGACATCAGTGGCCGTCTGGTGCATATGCAGAGAGAATTGATTGGTTTTAGGTAATGAGTCAGAAGGGGTGATTCAGTGAACTACTGATACCCCTGAGACAGGTTCGCAGGCTGCAATCATCTGTCATTTACACGCTGGGGAAACATCTGAATTCTCTTATAATGATTATACACTCCATTAGCCGCTGCCACTGTAACTGTGCTTTTTTTTTCGATGCCAGTTTATTTAAAGATTACAAAGACGCAATTAAAGCACAGTGGCTTCGCCAAAAAAACGATGGGCTATAAAAGTAAATGAGTTCATTGTTACTGTTGTTGCAATAAATATTACTTTGCACGCTGGAAGTAACCATGAATCGGGCTCTGGTGTTTCTATTATAACAAAATCACAAAATAAAAGAAAGAAAATAAGCCTTTTGTGCTCTGTCTCCAGCTTGTGACCAGCTCTCTCTGGGTGTGGCGGCCATCTTCGGTCCCTCCCACAGTTCTTCGGCCAACGCGGTGCAGTCCATCTGTAACGCTCTGGGGGTGCCGCACATCCAGACCAAGTGGAAGCACCAAGTGTCAGACAACCGCGACTCCTTCTACGTCAGCCTTTACCCAGACTTCTCCTCCCTCAGCAGAGCCATCTTAGACTTGGTTCACTTCTTCAAGTGGAAAACGGTCACTGTGGTTTACGATGACAGCACAGGTGAGAGTTCGACGCTTTAGTGCTCGTAGTGTGTTGTGATTATTCTCCAGCCGTCCTTAGGCAGACTGACCCGTTGGCCTGGACTGTGCACCATTCCCTGGTCTCCGTCTGGCCTACAGTATGGCCAAACCCCCCTGGTTGACAGGCTCTGTTAGAACAGTAGGCAGCAAGTGCTACCACAGTGAGGGGTACATATACCATATGCCAGAGGTCGCCTCAGGAGCAAACTTGCCAACTAAAGGATTTGCTGCCAGATTTCCCAAAGCATTCACTCAGCCTTATTCACAATTCTGCACAGCAACAACACACTATTATTCTGTGACACTGTGTTCATACAAATGTGGCCCAAGTAAGGACCAAGGCACACTGCTTCGATTTACTGAAGATCTTTAACATTACTACAGCTTACACTGTAGGTTTAGTTAAACAAAGGTTTATTCACTGTCCGATTAATTCACAGTAACACGGTCAAGTTAAATGAAACCAAATTATTAAATGATACTGATTATTGAATTTCATATATGGTGTTTTATAAAACAATTAATAATCCATTTATTGCATGTTTCATTTCATTGAAAAGCTACAAACAAAAGCCATCCTTATTTGAAATACAGACTTATATGTTTTAAAAACGTATTGTTGTGAACAATAAATAGAAAGACAGAGATTTGTGTATGTGTTGTATCACAGCGTCAATGTGTACATTGTTTTGCCACATTGTGCTGTTTTTATTTTTAATTGATTTCCACTATGCTCAGTGTAATTTAAAAGTGTTTTGTTACAAATGATTGTATTTTTGAGAGTCGCTGAATCATTCACTCAACCGATTGGTTCCAAAAATGTCAAATCATTCTGGAACAAAACAAGCGACACTGGCTAAAAAATTATTGAAGCCCATTTCCACCATATATGATAATTATGACCTTACAAGTCATAATTATGATATAAAAAAAATAAATTGTGAGATACTAAGTAATAATTGTGAGATAAAAAGAACAAAAATACATACTAAAGGCTAGAAAAAAAAAATACTAAACAGGGCAAGTGCGGTAAATAAAAAAAAAATTTAAATAAAAATTCATAATTATGACATAAATAGCTTTTTTTTTTGCCATAATTTAATTTTTAAGCCATTTTAATAATTATAATTATAATAATAATAATAATTTAGCAGACACTTTTATTCAAAGCGACTTACAGTGCATTCAGGCTATACATTTTTTTACCATTTTAAACCATAACTATATTTATCTCATAATTTTAACATAGTATCTCATAATTGTGACTTTTACAGCATCGTTATGACTTATTATATCATAATTTGACATTATCCTAATAGTTTTACCTAATAGATTTACTGAAGCATGTTTTTTTCCTTAAGTGGCAAGAATAGGTTTCCATAAAAAAGCAATAACATTAATTTTATTGCTTTAATATTCTATCAAAAATATGTAAGTATTTATTTACTCATGTTTTAAAATGTAGTGTACTTCAAACACAAAGCTCTGTCAACACTGCTCAGCTGTTAAATTCAATATTGTGTTAGAAATGTATGGCAGTGCACACAGCATTTCTTCACATGCCATACAATCTTAAAAAAAAAAAAAATAATTTACCGGGGGGGGGGGGGGGTTT